ATTATCGAAAATTCACTCTTTTTTTCCCTTTTATTTTCTCAGATACAGAGAAATCCTACACTGAAGTCCAGGAAATCATCCTTGCTAGATACAATAAGATTTTTGGTTGGTCTCTCAAGGCCAAAATAATGGGTAAGAAGGCATTAGAAGCTGCTCTAATTTTTGTGGAAGAGACTGGAATCAGTGACTCGCTCTCAACTGAAGAGTTTCTTGTAGAGAGAAAAGATATGCTGCGAAGTTTATTCCCCACGTGCGAACTCATGCCAGGTTTAATTTGACATATTTGATCACATAATTTATCTATCTTTTAATATTCTCTTTGCATTTCGACATTTCCTTATTTCGTCTTACTCAGATACAGTTATGTGCTTAGAACTGTTTGAGCTACAATAGTTAGCAAAATATTTTCCCCTGCTGAAAAGCCTCTCGGAACTTAATACATTTCCACTCTGCACGGTACTTGTACATATTGAGCAATTTTATATTTATGCCTTAAATTTTAACTAATGAATATATTATTTAACTCTTGGTACTTACTAAGGAAAAAGATAAATTCCAACTTAATGTTTTAAAAAAGTGAAAAAAATTTATGTATTAGTTTCCAACTTCCAAAGATCTTCTTAACAATCATCAGATAAGAAACCCTCTGTTTTGTCCTCCATCTTGGAAGTTCTTTTAAGTTTCAATCACTTCTCTGCGATCACGACTTCTGTCTGGTTTTGCGTGATAAAAGTTTTTGTATGTTCAGTTCTTTGTGTCTAAATTAGTAAATATCCTCCTCAAGTTTCTCGGTAGAGTTCAATTAGTGGTTTTCCCTTTTTTCTAGAATTTTGAAAGCCTAATATGAATATATTTATACTTCAGTTATTATGCTCATGTCAATCTACACCTACATAAACTGGTGCCGGTATTAATGATATGCATAGGCGGTCATGATTTTTCGTCATAATTTATGGTTAAAATCCCATAACTTCTGTGTAAAATTGTTGTTATTTACAGTCATTTTTGTTAGTTGTTTTGTTTTGTTTTGTTTTTTGTTTTTTGTTTTTTTTTTTAACAATAGATTATGATAAATCCTAACTAGAGATATGTTTTGATGCTACTATGGTTATGTATAGCTACAGTTTGAACAACAATGGAAGAACTGATGTGGTGATGTGTAACTAAGTTGTTTGTGCATTGATCTTATTCTCTTGTTTACTGGTGGATTTGTTTTGTTTGATATGTGGTGTTGATCTTTAGCCAGTGGTAAGAAGCTATGGATGTGTGTATGCATGACCGAACATCATTTTCTGGTATTTTAGCTGCGATATATTTTTTTCTTTTTTTGCAGCAATTATAGACATGGAGGATGAATTAGCTCAGTACAGGAAATCGAGTGATGAGCCTCTGTTGGAGGAGTTCATACCAAAGAAAAAAAAAAAAGGGAAAGGCGTGAACTTTGATTCTGAGCCAAGTATCTGAGATGGATCAAGCGATGCCCTACATAATTTGAGCAACATTTACAAACATTTATTATTGTTTCGATTATTCTTCATGTATAGAATACCTAAAATGGCTATTTACTTGGACAAACAATTTCATCGACATTTTAGACTAAATTTGAGTCCGCCGTGTGTGCACGGCGTGAGACAACTAGTATATATATAGGTGCTATATGCCATGTGTGGTTACAAGTGTAAGAAAGATTACTTAATGTTCACAACTCATCTTCTTGAATGAAGAACCATTAGTCTCAAGATGAAACTTATGTTTAATTAATCAAAGATTAATTAAACCAATAAGTTTCAACATTTGTGAAACTCATCTCATAACATGCGATGTAATGAAACTTATCTTACATTCATGCATTGTGTAATTCAAGTTACATTGGTGCATGTAACGTATAAGCTTCCTTACACCTTTGCATGTAACCAATAACCAATCTTACTTTTTATTTTAACCAAAATATAACAATCCCCCACTTGGTTAAAATAAAAGCCAACATCATAACCACCATAGTGAAAATGCATAAAGTAAAGTATCTTTCGATTTGAACTTTACCTTAGTGTAATAATCACAAAGCCTCGTCGAAATCCCAGGTTGCTTGTAGCATTGAGCCAGTTATTCCTTGTGACGAAACCGGTGATAACACACACATTTCAATATCATGCGAATACCTATCAATTTTCTCGCTTACCACTTTTATGGCCATGTGCTCAATCCATTCATGAACTTTCTTGAGAGAAAACTCCAACTCTCATGAGAAGCGGCACCACTTCTAAGGTCACATAGGTGAAATTCTTTCAGCATTCTCGTTACTTAAAATGCTTATCACACGTAGACTGAATTTTATAAAAAGCTTTATGCTTAACCCTCCAATCGTAACGACCAACATTTTATATTTAATCTCAAATGGAACTCACAAATTTTAATATTGTTATAATTCACTTATCAACGACTTGTTTTTACCCATTGAACTTAAAACTAATCATTTCTTAGTGTTAAGTTGGGTTGCCATCATTGGTGAATTTATTTAAGAAGTTTTAGTCCCATCCCTCGAGATGTTGTTCTTACTAAATCTCTCTTCAGAGGTTTAGTAAACGGATCTGCAAGATTCCCACTTGATCTTACAAATGAAATTGATATGATTCCATCTTGAATCAATTGTCTTACAAACTCATATCTGAGACTAACATGTCTAGACTTCCCGTTATATACTCCACTATATGCACGGGCCAAAGTTGCTTGACTATCACAGTGTATTGACACTGTTGATTTATTATTTTTAGTAAAAGGGATATCCAACATGAGATCTCGAAGCCACTATGCTTCTTTTACTGTTGCAGCAAGAGCTATAAACTCTGCCTCCATAGTTGAATGTGATATGCAAGTCTGTTTCTTTGATCCCCAAGAAACAGCTCCTCCTCCCAAAGTAAACACCCAACCCGTTGGTGATATATTATCTCCCACGCTCGATATCCAGTTTGCATCTGAATATCCTTCATGTACAACGGGAAACTTAGAATATTAGAGGCTTAGTTCTTTGGTTTTCTTTAAATAGCCAAATACTCTACTAATAGCTTTCTGATGTTCCACGCTTGGATTGCTAGTAAACCTGCTTAGTTTACTAACTGCAAATGAAATGTCAGCCCTAGTACACTGTGCAACATACATTAGACTTCCAATTGCACTTGCATACTCAAGTTGAGCCACCGCTCTACCGTCATTCTTCTCAAGCTTTAAACTTGAATCAAACGGAGTATTAGCATTTTTTATCTTGAGATGATTAAATTTGCTTATTATTTTCTCAATATAGTAGGTTTGATTTAAAGAATAACCCCCACTATGTTTTTTCACTTTAATACCCAAAATGGTATCAACTTCTCCAAGATCTTTCATCTTGAAGATTAATGATAGAAACCTCTTCGTTTCCATTATTCCTCTCATGTCATCACTTAAGATTAACATGTCATCAACATATAAACACACTATGACTATATAGTATCACAAGATTTAGAGTATAAACACTTGTCAACATTGTTATGTCTAAATCCATATGAAATAATAGCATTATCAAATTTTTCATGCCATTGTTTAGGAGCTTGCTTTAAACCATATAACGATTTAACAAGCCTACACACTTTATGTTCATTTCCCGGCAGAACAAAACCTTCTGGTTGTTCCATATAGACCTCCTCATTGAGATCCCCATTCAAGAATGGCGTTTTGACATCCATCTGCTGAACAAATAGATTATGAATTGATGTCAAAGCAAACAATATCCTAATCGAAGTTGTTCTTGCCACTGGAGAATATGTATCGAAATAATCAATACCTTATTTTTGTTTAAATCCTTTAGCTATTAATCTAGCTTTAAATGTTTGAATAGTCCCATCGGTATTGTATTTCTTACAAAACACCCACTTGCAACCAATTGGTTTAGATCCAGCTGGAAGATCTACCAAATCCCATATTTGATTAGATACAATAGAATCCATTTCATCATTGATTGCCTATTCCAAAAGGCGGCATCTCTCGAATCAATGGCTTCTTTGTATGTTTTGGGATCCTCCTCCACTTGAAATATTATAAGAATTTTCCTAATAATATCTTCTCTATTTCCCTCTACTAAGTAAAAGGAAATTCTTTGAGAATTAATCTCATTTGATCACAATAATTTTCTTTTCTTTGTCTTTGACTTTTTCTCACTGGCACCAAAGGGTTCTCAACAACCTTCGTTGGTCTATTCTCTGGAGACTCTTCAAAATTAGTAGATTCTGGAGAACTACTCAATAAATTCTCAAAGAATTCTACATCTTTTGATTCAATTATCACATTAGATTCCAAATCTAATAGCCTATAAGCTTTGCTATTTGTGGCATAGCCAACAAATGCACACTTTATAGCTCTCAAACACAATTTTCTTTTGTTTAGGTCCGTTTTCTTGCAATATGCAAGACACTTCTACACTTTGAAGTAACCTGTATTAGGTTTCCTTCCTTTCCATAACTCATATGGAGATTTTTCAATTTTCTTCATAGGGATTCGATATGACACGCAGTCAACAATGCTTCACCCCACAACCCGAAATTCAATTTAGCATGTAATAACATTGCATTCATCATTTCTAAAAATGTTCGATTTTTCCTCTCTGCTACACCATTATGTTATGGTGTATATGGTGCTGTACATTCATGAATAATGCCATTTTCTTCACAAAATAAATTAAATTCATTCGAGAAATATTCACCACCTCTATCACTTCTCAAAATTTTAATCTTTTTACCATGTTGATTTTCAACTTCTGCTTTGTAAACTTTAAAAGCATTAGAAGTTTCACTTTTATTTTTCAATAAAAACACATAGGTAAATCTTGAACAATCATCAATGAATGTAACAAAATACCTATTGCCGCCTCTAGTTTTACACCGTTAAGTTCACAAAGATCACTATGTATTAAATCAAGAAAATTTGATGATGTTTCCACACTTTGAAAAGGCTTTTTGATCATTTTAGATTCAACACATATTTCACATTTTTTAAATTCATTTATATCACAATTGATTAAACCACTTTTAACAATTCTTTTTATAGTGCTTAAACCAACAAGTGAAAGCCCATTATGCCATAATGACAAAGAATTTGAGTCACACATATAAACAAAAGTAGATATCTCTTTATTCAAATTATTTTGAATACAAAGTTTAATCATCCCATCAGTAGAATAATCTTTTCCAACAAAATTCCCCGATTTTGTTAAAATTAGCTTACCGGATTCAAACACAGCTTTTATACCCGGTTTGCTAAGTAAATCACCACTGACAAGATTTTTATTCATATCGGGAACATACAACACATTAATAAGTGTAATCTTTTCCCCCAAAGTGAAAACGATCTCAATTGTGCCTTTG